TATGTATTATTTATGCTAATTTAATAATTTCAAAAGAAAAAATGAGGTATAGTGTATTGAACATACCCAAGTAGTATTTTATAGAAGTGTCCATATAATACAAAAAAGACTGAAAATAATTATTTTAATATTATTAATTATTATTGCAGTAAAATTATGCCTGTTCGTTCAACATTTTACATGCAGTTAAACAGAGAACATGTACTGGTTTTATCTTGCAACATTGCTGCAAATTAATATTGAAATACACCAGAACAATATTCAATGTGTGACTCCAAACGACCAGTATTCAATACATATTATTTTTAACCCATATTAAATTGAAAAGTACAATAAGTATAAATAAAACATAATTATTAGATTTTTCTATTAACTTTGCAGCAAATAACATTAAAATATGGCCTGAGGAGGTTACTCTATGAAATGCTTGATCAAATTATTGATGTAATTATGATTTTGTACACCTATTTAAGTAAATTTGCCAAATTGCCCGACAGACAAGCACTGAGTCAATGTGACCATGAGACAAAATGTCTTACTGTTCACAATCTACCTTAATTTAGAGTAATAATTTAGCACTAAGGTCTGTTCAAGGTGTTCTGAGGAAATTCAAGGGATTTTCAACAAGTGCTGTTCATCGGGTCTCTGCCTATATGCAAAGAACTCTTCTCTGTTTAGTTATTCAGATAGCGTGAAGTGAATTCCTCACTCGTCTTTGATGTTACAGGGATTGGAAAGATTCTATGCCCCTTTATGATCACTGTAGGCCGTATGATTCATCCCATCTCCTCAGGGATTCTCCTTCACTCTATGCAAGCTAATATGTTTGCCATGTTTAATGATGCAATAAATGTTCCCGAGTAGCAGTTATTTATCTTGATCACGCTTCTCTCCTGGAGCACTGTCACTTATGCAGTCCAGTATCAGCACCTGCTAAACGGAAGTGACACTGCACATAGTCCAGGCCTGGATAAAGCTGGTAAAGCTAACCAGTGTAGAATTAAAAAGTAAATTTTAATATAAAAATATATATACACTGTCAGAAAAAATGTGCAAAATTTGTACCTTCAGGGGTACAATGGCTTGTCACTGGGGCAGTACCCTCAAGGGTACACCCGTTGTACCCTTTCACATGGGTACATATCTGTACCCTTGCAGTATGTACCTTTCAAAGGCAAATATGTACCTCTGCTGACTAAATTGTACCTTATAGTGCTATGGTACCATAATGTACCTTTAAAAAAAGGTGCAAATTCATTCTTTTAAGGGTACTGCCCCAGTGACAAGCCTTTTGTACCCTTTGATGGCAAATTTGTACTCCATACAGCACATTAAAAAGGCCAGAATGCTGTTTATCACATTTATTAAACATTCAAAACCATTACATTCTCACATTTTTCACAGGATGAATGTTATAAGCTCTATCACAATGTCATAACAGAATGCATATATTGCAGCAATTTTACTTTTGAAAAAAAAAAAAGTTAACTTTTTATACTCAAAATTGTAAACAGCAAGAATCAAAAAGCAATTTTTTTCCAACAGTACACATTTCATTAATTATAACTTTTACTTTTTAAAACTATTTGTATTTGTAAAATTGTAAACAGCAAGATTAAGCTTAATATTATATTAAACATTTCTTCAAAATCAGTACATCCCATTTCATTAACCGTTTTTTTTTATCATGTAATAAAACATTAAGAATAAATTACACTTTTTTAAAAACAGCACTAGATCTCATTTTAAGTACATTTTTCTACTACATTCTACATTTTCTAAAACAGTTTTGAACATCAAGAATCACAAAGCAATCTTTTACCAACAGTACACATTTGAAAATTGACAGAAAGAGAAAGTTAATCATTCACATTAACTAAAAATCAAATCAGACATTTTAATATTCTTTGTTGCCTCTTTCGTTGCCATTTCCCTCTAGTAATATCACTGTACAAATATTTCTAAGCTTGAATGCACAATTATTTGTTCACCTGAAGGTTTAGAAAATTACAATGTTTTTACAAAAGTTATAACTGTGAATGATCATTTTAGCATACTGTTTGTTTATATCGATATTCAACATTTATTTTAAGCTGAGAACTGATTTAAAATCTGTGATATCACTGACCTCTGAGAGTGTTTTTAAGAAAGGGTATTTCTTAAGTATATCCTCCACAGTCATTCCATCTCTTATCTCCCTTCTTCGCCACGCAAACTTTCGCTACATTCGGTCTTTGACCACCAAGGTATCTGGTCGCACTTTGCTGTACTGGATATGCAGGACATTCACATGACCCTCAACAGAGGATGCATCCTCACCAATGACAGCAACCGCCTATTGGATCAAATTTAAAAGTCCATAATGTCCATAATAATAATAATAAATGTTAAACCTCAAAAACACATGATGTCATTCACCATTTCCATTTTTATGATTTTTATGATCACAAAGAGAGATATTCAATTTAAGGCTGCACAATGAATTCATAAAAAAAAAATGTTATTATGCAAATTAGTAATTCCATGTCAAATCAACCAAATTTCAGAAACTCCCTGGTTCAAATTTGTAATTTTGTTAATATTTTTTATAAATTTTAATATTTATTTTATTCGTCGTTCCAGCCCTACTTAACTGCATCATATATTATAAATATAAAAACTCCACATGTTTAGCATTTAGCACATCATATAAACTGAGTTTCTTTTGTGTGTGCTGCTGGGCCACCCTGCTTTCTCGGCATCAGGCATCAGGCATAAAAAAAAATAAATATTGGTCAACCACTAAACATAGGACAAATATAATACACAATACTCAATGTTATACTTACATTTCTGTAGTCAAAGTTTGTTGATAGGATTCTGCTGGCACTGGTTATAGTGTTATTGTTACCACCTCCATCTTGTGTACAAATTTGTTAAACTTGGCCTGTTTTTTAAAGGAGCCTTGAAATAAATGTGAGATCATGTTCTCCGTGAGACCACACTCTACTGTTTCCCCATCCACCTCATTTTCTGAAAGAAAGAAAAAGAATGATCAGTGTGAGCTCGAGGTTTTAATCATTTTAACAATTATTTAAACAATAAAGTCAATGTATTTTTTTAATGGGCATTAATCAGTATAAAAAAAATACTTCTATTTAGAAAAATACACTCTCAGAAAAAGGTACTAATATGTACACTAACAGAGAAATTTACTTTTTTCTGAGAGTGTATGATTAGAAGCAATATTATTTAAATTAGCAGCTCAAAGACTAGAAACTTATTTCACGAGTTTTTACCAGTTTTGATAAATAATGGTAAACAAATTTCACTTGACTTGCTGTCCTTGGAAGGGCTCAAAGCCGACGCACGCCTCGATGTCCGAGCTAAATCGCCTCAGTTGATTGCTGCTTAAGTAGTTCGCTCGTGATGACTGACAGGACTAAATGATTAGGACACTACTGGACTTATATTTAGTCTTATATTTTATATTTATATATATTTTTTTTATAAATATGTACCAAATAAAACTGATATAAATCAACACGGATGATATTCGTAAATTATATAATTTCAGACTGACTAGGAGAGGCGTTAAAATAAAACAAGAGAGGCGTTCGCTTGCGTCCGGTGTGAACACGGGTAACAGTAAGAAAATAATGGGAAACTGAATTTATAAATCTGTGGTTCCACATTGAGACCCAGCTTTAGTGAAAATAAAAGCCGATTCACACAAAACGCGATGGGTTTGAACTGTTTCTATGGCCGTTTTACCGCTGTTTTGTCAGCGTCTCAAGCACTGTCTCGCGGTAGAGTATAAGTTATGCGAAAAGTAACATTTTAATTTCTGGCTAAATAATAAAAACAATTGTTATAATAACAATAAGCTCAAAATTTAATAACAATGCGTTGGTTTTGTCAGGTCAGTGTTTTCGAGTTTACCTCACGCATCAGGTAGGCCTAGCTACAGACGCAATGTCAAGTGAACATGACTGCAAAGGGAACCAACGGATTTTCACAGTACTTAAAACTAAACTTACCTCTGAATTTCTGTGCTTCGTCTTCAGTGACATGTATTCCAGCTTCTTTCAATTTTTGAAGAAGATCCTCCGTCGACAGCGTCAGAAGTGAGACAGCCATGATATGGAATAACCGTCGTGCTCGTGCACAATATCAACTTTGCGCGCATAAAATGCACCGCGCGGGCTATAATCCCATTGGACGACACGAATTTAAAGAAGGCTGGCTGCGAAAATGCGTACTTGAACTTTGAGGCAAAGTAAAAGTACCCCATATAATGTTAAATAAACGTTAAATAGTTTCGTCTACATTGTGCTTTTGTTAAGAAAGATAAGTACATGTATTTGTTTAACTCTAAATGAATTACAATTAAAAATGCAGGCCTACTTTAATACATTTGCGTTTCATACACTTTGGCTTACTCCTTTTGTCACACAAGTGATTGTACCTTTGTTTGGGGATTAAATGGTCCAAACATGGACCCTCTGACAGTTGGAAACATATTTGTACCTTTTTTACCCCTAAATGGTACATATGAGTACCCTAAGGTGTAACTATGACCCATTAAGGGTACAACTTCACCATTTGTACCCTAAGTGTTCACAAACGGACCCCAACCGTACCCTTTTTTCTGACAGTGTATATTAATATATACATTTAAAATATAATTATATAATTAGTAAAATATATATCTGCGTATATCCATCCATCTTAGTTTTCAACATGGAAGTAAGCAATTTCTTGCAAATGTGCTATTTCTATCAAAGTGCAGTAAACAGTCAAACTGTTTGTGCAACAAACCAGTGTTTTTATGATTATGATAATAAATTGGAAAAATAAAATGATAACAAATACCAGTTTTCAATATCAAGCAACATAACTTACTGTTTTTGTACTGCTAAAACAACTGTGTGTGTGTGTGTGCGTGCGTGTGTGTGTGTGATTTATGAGTATGCAAACTTGTATAATGACATGGGTATTACACTGGTATAACAACATAAACATGTTTTATGAGGACATTTCCTGAGTCCTCATAATTAAAATAGCTTTAAAAACATATTAAACCATTTTATTTTCAAATTGGTTTATTAAAATGTAAAAATGCAAAAAAGAATGTTTTGTGTGAGGGGTAGGTTTAGGGGTAGGGTAGAGGGAAAGAATATACAGTTTGTACAGAATAAAAACCATTATGCCATTATGCCATAAAAAATACAAACCCTTGTGTGTGTGTGTGTGTGTGTGTGTGTGTGTGTGTGTGTGTGTGTGAAAATCAGCATACTGAACGCATTTCAGAGAATTTCAAAGAACTTTGATAGGCCTGATCACATTTGGTTCATGTCTGTAAAATGCTGTTCTTGGTTTTACAGCTCATAATGGCCCCGTGTCACCTCATTTTCATATTCTATGACACCTCTTACTTCCCTTATCCTCTCATTTCTGCAGTCAAGTGTGATACAGAGATGACTGATTATCTAATCACCAATGGGTAAGAATCAGCTCTGGATAAGGTAATTAATCATGCTATAGCCTGCCCTCTCAGCCAAATCAGCTCTAGATTCACAAATCCCTTAAATTTAATCAGCCTCAGGCTAATGCACAATCACCACCACCACTAAAGATTCATAAAATGGACCTCTTGCTGATCCTAAGGTGGTTCTGAGAGTGTGTAGAGGTAAATATAGTACTTCACTGGTGTAGTAGCTTGCACTCAAAACAGCTGCGTTATAACATCTATTCACCAAAAATCTCATCATAATTGCATCTAGTAGCACGGTAAAGTGCAAAATTATGAACATTCTTACAGATGACAGCAGAAGAGAGGATGTGTATCTAGTCAATTGCGGTCTGGGGAGTAAACTTTGGCTTAGCGTGATGGTGTACGGTTCCTTTTAGAGAGAGAGCCGCTCTTGGTGTGCCTGTGGCTGTGTTGGATCCTCATCAGAGAAAAGCTGATCTTAAAAACACGATGGGGGATCACAGAGTGCATCCGCTCTACGTCTTTCGCATTCAAAACAATCAATACGCATCTCATCTTCATACCACAACACTACCACACACGAAAAAACTCACAAAACCGCAAAGTTAGTCAACTCAATATGTGTTTCAAAGCTACAAACAGAATTATCTGCAGCAATCAAGGTGGTTTTAGAAGATAAACAAGGTGTTATTTTTTTTAGAATAATGGGGGAACGTGTCTGAATGTGCTCACTGTTTGCGGCTTTTTATGTGATACTCAGCATCTGACAAGAATTCTGGATGAATGCTGACAGTATTCTTAGAAGTCATCCAAGGAAACAGAGAGCATATTTCGATTTTAATGACCCTGGGTGGCATAAAATCAAAACATGTAATGATCAGCAATGAAGACATGAAGCTTTTGCCAAGTACAGAGCATAATAAAGCATGCGCATAACTGGCAACAAAGGCCAGGTTCACACAGGAGCAGAATATGGTTGTCAGTCCTTATAATGCATTTTTGCATTCTACTGCACTGCTTTTCAATTGTGTTTCTATGTAAATATGGGCTAAGCTGATGTTTACATGTTTACAAATGTTACATTTGCGTCTTGCAATTTTGCATGTCTCCCACATAAACAATGTATTTTAGAATGCCCATGTTAAGTTACAATGTATTTTAGAATGCCTGTGTCAAATTCTCTTGACAACTTCTCGTGGAATACAAATGGAGATTTTTAGAAAATGTATCTATCTCTGTGAGTCCATATAATGCAAGTGGATAATTGTCTGAGAGTCGACGCTTCAAGCGAGTTTCACAACAAACTTACATGCTGACAGTTGGCCGAAAGCAATGGTTTATAGTTTAACAAGTATTCCCCGCCCACCCCCACACACACACACTATTGTTTCACTTCAAAACAAATTTATTCATCAAAAACCACGTTTTGCGTGGTTTTTGAAGTGTCAACTTTGGACCTATCCACTTGCAAAGAGATGGACTATTTTTCTGAATATCTCCATTTGTGTTCATCTGAAGAAAGAAAGTCATAAACATCTGGGACGGCATGAGGGTTAGTAAATGAATTAAGATAGAGTTTCCATTTTGGGGTGTAGTAACCCTTTAACCCAGGTGAAAAAGAAATATATTTAAATTGTGCTTTTTCAGACATACTTACTATATTTAAATTATACTATACTAAGTGCATATTAAATGTATTATTTTGAAACAACTTTAAGTATATTAAGTGTATTTCAAGATATGTTTAAGTTGGATTTTAATCTATTTGTAATATATTTAATATATTGAAATTGTGTTAAAATGGAACCACTTTAAGTATATTTAGTGCAATTTAAGTGTATTTCTTAAAATACATTTAAAATGTCCTTTTAATACTTCATGAACTACAGTTAGAGTATATTTGAAGCATCGTTTTAATGTACTTCAAGTACATTTCAATTGTATTTCAGCTCATTGGAAATGCATTAGCATTGCACTACTAGTATATTATAAAGCTGCTTTTTTCAGTATACACACACAC